CCCAGCCACACTCAATGCAGCTGCCGTGGGGCTCTACCCCCGGGACAGCAAACGCCCCATCGCGGCTCCAAGCCACGAGACCGCTGCAGACACTGCCCAACCCCACTCCCACAGCTGCCGGGCACATCGTCCCCCCCACGAGCTCAGCTGCTTGGGGCAAGCAGGGGACAGACCCCAGGCAGCTCAGCCCAGCCACGGTATTTTCTGCGTATCAGCTAATTTCTTCACTTCGAAGCTCTAATGCACACACTTAACTAAACTTCCAGATCACGTATCACACTTTATGGCCAACAGGTTCCTCTTCTGCAGACACCAGATGCCTGAAAAGCATTCACACGCCACAGCTCCGAGCTCTCCCCTCCTTCCAGTGTCCAGCCAACAGCGAGCGACTCCGAGCACTTCCCTGCTTCTCCCGGGGCCGCTCGACTCTCCCAGCGAGGAGGCAGCGCTTCAGCCGCTCTGCAAGTGAGGATGGTTTCAAACAGCATGAAAATTAAGGCAGCAAACCGACTCGCTAAAAGGAACCACCCAAACAGATCTGCCTGTGTGTCCTGGGCTACCGACACCTCTCGCTCACCTTCTCAGTTTTGGTGTGTGTTTGCTGTAAATACTCAAATAACTATGTGGATTCTGGTGCTCCCGTCCCTATGGTACAGTGAAGTTCAATCCATTTAGCCAAAAGAAAAAAATAGGAAAAAACCCAGCCTGTGAGTGCAGGCTACCCTGCCAGCTTGCTGGTTACAAGCGAGGATTTTCTCTGCGGGAGGTCCTGCGGCGTGGGGATGTGGTCTCCTGTCACCAGGTTCTTGTCTGGCCCGGCACTTGGCAACTGCTTGTTCTTCATCTTTGCCTTGGCCATGTTGTAGTCACCAGAATCAAAGTATTTTTGCTGGAAGAGGGAGAGGAGTTTGGGTTACTTTGATTTGCAGGAGCATGGGGACATAGCAGATAAAGACACCTGCCCACAGATACAGAATCCCAGAATCATCCTGGTTGGAAAAGCCCTTGAAGTTCCTCCAGCCCAACCATGAACCTGACCGTTCCCAACTCCCCCAAATCCCTCAGCGCTGGCTCAGCCCGACTCTTCAACCGCTCCAGGGATCCCGGGGACTCCCCCCTGCCCTGGGCAGCCCATTCCAACGCCCAACAGCCCCTTCTGCACAGAAATCCTTCCTCAGAGCCAGCCTGACCCTGCCCTGGGCAGCTTGAGGCCATTCCCTCGGGGCCTGGCGCTGGGGCCTTGGCTCCTGAGACTCATCCCCCCTCTCTGCCCCCTCCTGGCAGGGAGTTGCCGAGGGCCAGGAGGTCTCCCCTCAGCCTCCTCTTCTCCAGACTGAACCCCCCAGTTCCCCCAGCCGCTCCCCAGCAGACCTGTGCTCCAGACCCTGCCCCAGCTCCGTTGCCCTTCTCTGGCCACGCTCGAGTCATTCAATGGCCTCTTTGGGGTGAGGGGCCCAAAACTAAAGCCAGGAATCGAGGGGCGGCCTCCCCAGTGCCGAGCCCAGGGCTCAGATCCCTTTCCTGTCCCTGCTGGCCACGCTAGGGCTGGTACAAGCCAGGATGCCGTTGGCCTTCTTGGCCCCCTGGGCACACTCTGGCTCATGTTCAGCCAGCTGGCAATACGATCCTTCGAGGTGCTGGGGTTGCTCAAAATCAGGTCACAAACACCACACCAGAGGAAAATCCAAGCAAGGGAGCCTGGCCTGATTGAAAAGGCCGTTAGCACCCACTCACAAACCCCAGAGTGACTCAGACCTGCCCCAGCTGGAAGCAGCTTTACCCTACGGCAGCTGCCTGTCTGACTCAGACACCAGGGTGCATTTTCTCCCTCTGAGTGTTCGTAGCCTCTGAACTTTTGCTGCCTGGCGGGGCACTGGCTGGGGAAAGATCAGGTTTGTCATGCCCTGCCTCTGCCCCACACTCAGCATGACAGGGATTCAATCCCAGCCCAGAGACCCCGGACAGCCAAATGCAGGCACAGCCGTCGGCAGATGCCTCCAGGCAGAGGTAAAACCAGGGGACGTTTGCTGATAGTTTATTCTGGTTTGGTGAACAGATGAGGTGGTGTGACAAAGGCAGGGTTTTCTCCCCACAGAGCACAGCCCAGCCAGTGCTGAGGCCTTTGCCAGACCGTTCAGGCTCCCAACAGCCAAACTGACACAGGGAAACGGCTGAGAAGATGTGGCCGGAGGAACCTCCCGGCTGCCCCGCACCACCCGCCCAGGGTGTAAAGGGCACGTCACTCCCCTGTCACACACATCACCACGGGACTCTGCACGCCCTGCAGCGGCATGGGAGGGGCTGCACACCAAAGAACAGCTTGTGCTGGTGCTACAGACAGGGCTTTGCTGGGCACAGGGAGCTCTGAAGAGCCCAGTTCTGCTCCATCGTGCTGTCAGGCCCCAGTGAGCCCAGACAAAAAAGCTCTTCCCCGCTCCAGCGCCAAGCTGTTAAACAACCCCCCTCCCTGTGGCTGCTTTAGGAGCTCAGACCTAAACCAAGAGTCCCAGTGATCAGGTCAACAGCAGGAGCGAGCGCACAGGCGCTGCTGAGGCAGAGGGGACAGCTCTCGATACAGGCTGAAAGGGAAGTGGCAGAACAGAGCCGGCCTGCGCAGCGTGACACGGAGACACCGTGTGTCAGAGCCGGGGAAGGCACCGGCTGCCAGCAGCTCAGCAGAGATTTGCGTTTTCTGCAGCAGCCTCCGCAAGGAGCAAAGCCAGCAGGGACAACCCAGGCGGGCTACAGATGGCTCTGGGAGAGGGATTAAACTACATTTCCAGGGAGCACACTCAGAAAGTTGGCTCTTCACACTGATGCCGGCCATGGGGATGCGGGCAGCTGACTCACTGGTGTTCTCAGTGCCCTTTGCACCAGCCCAGAAACCAGGCAAAGTACAGACCAGAGAGGAGAACCCAGGCCCACAGCACCTCGATGGCCTGGTGAACACAGGGAGCACAGCAGCAGGCAGGACAGGGATTTATACACTTGCTTTGCTTCTAGATGCCAGGTGTCAGGCCAGGGTGGGATCCACCTCAGAGCAAAACTACCCAAGAAGCAGCAGCTTTTGGGTTCTGAGCAGGCACAAGCCCTTCTTGCTTGGCCACAGCAGCCCTCACTGCTTTGGGCCCATGTCCAGTGCAGGCACTGGAAGGAGCCTGGCCCATTGGTTCAACAGACTTTTTGGCCTGGGGGATGTTGATGTGATTCATCTGGGCTGGTTGGAGCTTGGCTGCCTGTGCCGTTGAGGGAGGAGAGGACATCGATCAGCCATGGCTGAAAGATAAATACCCCTTTCTGCAGTCTCTTCATGAGGAAGTCAGAACCTCCAGGCTTCTGGCCTAGGTTGGGATATTTGGCCTTCAGTTTTGCCTCTTCTGCTCTCTCAGGGGTGATGGTTTCCTTCTCCTGCGTGTCCTGAAAAACAAAGAGGGGAGTGGAAAGCTCTTCAGCCCCACAGAATGCACACCTGATGCCATAACACAATATTCAGCAGTGTGTCCAAACCCTGGTGCCTGGCTTGCTGAGCCCCTGGAAAATCCAGACGTGCTTGGAGAATATTATAAACACTTCCCCAGACAGAAATAGCTTTTACCTCCAGTACTTGTGGAAATAGGCAGAGACCTTCTACCTGCCTCTCCCAGACAGCAGCCCCTGCAGCGGGGCTCGCACTGATGTTTGGCTTTGCATACTGGGCTTAAAATGTCACTGCAGATGTCTGCTGGACCAGCACTTCCCCTGAGCAGTGACGGGTCAGAGCAGCATCGACACACATAGCCCAGAGCACAAGGGGCTGCAGCAGCAGCATGCTGCGGTGCTGGAGGGGTTGGCCTTGCTGCACCCCATTGCAGGACAGCTGAGATGGAAGAAACCCTCTGCTTCCAAACCAACTTATCAGGAATGACAACTGGCACAGGCAGCAAAGCAGCATTTTAGCACCTGTTTCACAGCAACAGGAGTTTTGGGGCGTTCTGGGAAGCCACCCAGCCCCCTCAAAGCCTGGGACCTTAGGGCTGACTGTGGCAGGAGGTGCCAGGCCCTGGCTGCTCTGCAGGAGCTCTGAGGCAGCTCCCAACCTAGCTACTGAAGCAGCATCAGCTGAGCAACACCTGAAGGGACCTGCTTGGGATGGGGTCCCCAGCCACCAGCCCCTCTCCTCAGGGAGCGCTGCAGGCCTGGGCCAGGAGCTTCCATCGGGGGTGGGAAGGTGCCAGGGTCCCAGCAGGGCCTGGAGAGCCTCAGCAGGGCCGAGTTCTGGCCAGGCACCAGCCCAGCCCCAACAGGAACACGTCACCACCAGCCACCTCTGCCAGCAGCCACCTGGGGCCAAGCCACCGCACGAGTCGCTGTCTCACAGGATGTTGGCAAGGGATGTTTTCCATCGCTGTTCTCTTTCCAGCAGGGATGATGCTGGCAGACTTAGCAGCAGCAGCTCTGCTCCTGCCAGCCCAGCTGCCCCGATGGATGCCAGGTACGTGCTCCCCAGTGCACGCCCTGACCTGCTCCCAGCCCACCAGAGACGTCACGCTCCATGCAATAAACGTGGCAGAACACTGCCACCACCAGCCTCCACCCCATCTGTGAAGAAGGAAAGCCCTCGGCGTTTGGACGGGACCAGCAAGCTGGCAGGATGCAGCTGGCAATCACGCGGGGTGAGGCGGGTAGGATGGGAGTCCCAGGCTCCCCAAGGACGAGGCACTGCAGCTTGGCCCGTGCTCTGGTGCGTTCAGCTACTGCGACTTCCCCTCCCGGGTGGCCAAGAGCGGAGCTTGAGCCCACGAGCCCCCAGGTTGGAAGGCACTGCCACCACCCCAGGAGGTTTCCAACATGATCTTCCACTGGCGTGAAGCTGGGGGAGCAGCAATTCACAGCATGGCTGCGGCCGTGGGGGCCAGCTCCCTGCAGAGAGCACGTGCAAAAGCTGCCACGAAACGGCTCCTTAGCTGTGTCTTGAAAAGACAAAGCAAACCTGAGTTAACAGCAGCTCCCAACAGCTAAAACTGGGACAAGCAGAGCTGGGAGCAGCAATGTGACGTGCAGGCTCGGTGCATCCCACTCGGAGCCTCAACTGCGCAGGCTCCTCCTCACGCCTCCGTCCGCGGGGGTCCCCGGGGGACTGAAGCGGGGAGGGAAGGCGGGGGAAGGTGTGAGAGTCTCATCACGATCTTCAGCTTCAGCTTCTGCAGGGCTTCACCCACACACGGCCTGAAGCAGCCCGGCTCTTCTTACCCACCTCCATGACAGCTCCAGGAATAAGAGCCACGGCCAGCGCCAGGCACCCCAAGCCCCCACGTCAGATGGGCTTGGGGGGGTGTTGGGAGCAGGAACCAAACCTTTGCCTCCCACAGCCCTTCCATCACCTCAGCCTGCTCCCCTCAGCTCTTCATCTCCGAAACTCTTTCCTCCCTGTCCGGCTGCAGACAGGACTGTTTCCCATCACCCCGCCTCTCCGGGTGCGCTGCTGCACCCCACTGCTCACCCACCTCCTGGGCAGCACCCAAACCCGGTGTCCTCAACACCTGCCAGCGGATCCTGGAGCTGCCCACGGCGGAGCCGCCCATCACGTCCCTCCGCCGTGGCAGAGCGCCCACCACCTGCTCTCGGTGCCCGCAAGGCAGCACATCTGCCTCCTTCCTACGCCCACCCCCTGCGCTGAACTGACACCAGGGAAGTGGGAAAAGCTTCTCCCGCTGCGATGCTGAGCG